TTTGTCCTTTATACCATCATTTTGTTGGATCCATATTTGATCTGTATTAGAACTTAATTCAATTTCAAGCGAATACGTCGATATGCGACGCCCACATAATGATCACAAAATTATTAATAAAAATAATAGTGATAAAAACTTTGAAAATCCGGTGACAGGATCCACAGAGTGTGAGTTCAATACCCGGCTAAGGCAGTGGAGAACTTTCAGAGGGAAATTAACAGGAGATAACTGATAACTGACATTTATTAAACATGGCACGTGGAACTAGAACAGTCTACTCTAGTGAGCGAAATAAAGGGTTCAGTTCGACATTCCAACCACCTGAAGAAGGCCAGAACGTACAACGGTCGAAACGTTGTAATAAATATGGTAAATAATAGTATGAATAATGTCAATAATATAAACAATTCTTGTTTCTATATTATCCCTTTTAGTTATCCATTTACACTGGCTTGCTAGGTTGGGTGTTTACATGTTAGATTTAGGAAAGTCTGTAAACAAATTTCCAAGCATTTTAACAATAGCAGGAGTAATTGATAGCGGCTCGGATTGAAGAATTGGAGAGCCGAGTTCGAATTCCAGTTGAATCCATTACATTCTAATTTCCCTAATATCCTTGGGAAAGGTATGAATCTTCGTCTTCTACCCCCAGCTATGGGTAAATAGCAAGGCAGCCTTGTCAGTCATGTATCGAAAGATACCTGATCGCCTAAGCGTATATCACGCATGGCACATAACTGAGGGAATGCCAACTTGAAATACCAATCCTCTTCCTCCCCCTCAGCTATGGGTAAATAGTAGAGTAGACCGCGTTCTATAGCCTTGTATGGCAACTGGTCTACCGCAGAAAGAAATGGCAAGCTAAATCTGTCTTGTCAGTCATGTATAGAAAGATACATGATCGCCTAAGCGTGTATCACGCATGGCACATTAAGCTTCATTCATAAATCATGATTAGGTTGTCCAAGGATTTCAACCCGACGATTGGCTAAAAATATTGAGACATTAAGAGTAAATAATATCCAATCAGATCTGAACATCACTGTAACTTATGTACACATCACACCAGTTTGTAAAAATATTCTTCTTCTACGTGTGGTGTCCCTTCAAGAAGTTAGCGATCATGGCTCTCCACAATTTCCTCTCGTTTGTAGCTCTTAATAATTTTTTATTTTCTTTTTGTTATCTCTCCTTTGCTCTGCCACCCATTCACTCAAGCTCGTTAAATAGGCTCGTTTTTTTTTTTTTTTCTTATTTTCAGACAGAGTGTATCAGTGAGGGAAGAAAAAAAAACGATAAGAAATCTATTGGTAGCCGACACACTTCGTCTTTTGAGCGACTTTATCAAGGTAAATATAGGATTTAATTGGTTGCTCGTGTTTATATTCAAAAGCGAGGTTTATCAAGGCTTTTTAAATTTGAGAACGTTCATGAATATTCAACGTGTGGGTTAAAAGGTCAGTCAAAACATATGGAGGACACAAAGTGTCATAATTCAAAATCTTTTACTTTTCACGCTGGATTTGATTTTGGATCTGATTTTGGTTACAGGTTCGGACCCTGTTGAACGGTCTTCTTCTTCGTGCACCATGCCCTCCCAGCACGTAAGAGATCCGGGCTCTTCACAATTTCCTCTACTTTGTAACTTTTAATAAATGTTGTCTTTTTGCTATTTCTCCTAAGCCCCGTTCCGCCATCCATTTACACAAGCTCTCTAGGTAGATTATGCGTTGTTTTTCTCTGCCTCTCTTGCCTTCAATCTGTACTGTGAGTATCAAATTTTCCAAACCCTCTCTCTACATCATGTGCCCTGGAAGTTTCAACCGTTTCTTCCCGATGAAATACTGAACTGAAAAAGATATCAAAGTCTTTTTTTGTAATAAATTCTCGAAGGTTTTAGATCAGCCAAATGATTAGTGGTATGTTTTTATTTGGCCATATGTTTGATTGATTGATTTGTTTGCTTTTTTACGGTTTATCATCTCTTTGAGGTTTGTTTACAACTGAAATATATTTTGGATTTTAAGAATGATTCCTTTTATTACAGAGTGAATATTGCATGAACATTATTTTGAAGAAAACAAAGATTATAAAATGCTAATATTTAATCCATATATGGGGAGTATATTGATTTAATCAAGAGCTATCAGACCTTGATAATGCAGACCACGATGATATTATAAAGACCTACCAGATAATGTCGACGATGGTGGCATTCGAACCCGGATTTGTTGGTTCGAACACTAATCTACAAAACAATCTAACATATTATATATTCATGAAAGAGAACATGGCTTTATGACCTCTGAAAATCTCTAGCATAAAAAAAATCTGCTGAAAATTAAAATTGCCTAGTCAGTCATGTATCGAAAGATACATGATCACCTAAACGTGTATCCCGCATGGCACATCACTGAATAAATGCCAACTTCAAATATCAATCCTCTTCCTCACCCTCAGATATGGGTAAATAGCAGAGCAGGCTGCGTTTTATAGCCTTGGATGGCAACTGGTTTACCGCAGAAAGAAATGGCAACCTAAATCTGCTTCTCCAGTCATGTATCGAAAGACACATGATCGCTTAAGAGTGTATCCCGTATGGCATATAACTGACTGACTGTTCCACTAAGTTTCATTCGTAAATTGCGTCCCTGAACAATTGCGTCCTTAGACAAATGACTCCCTGGATAATTGCATACCTTTGATAGTTTGTTGAAGTTACCATAATTTCTTTTTTTAAGAGTTGCTAATTGCAAACCAACTTTTAATTATTCAAAACAAACAAAAAAGTAGTTTTGATAAATTTGGGGAAAAAAAAAAATTAAACAAGAAATAAAAGGAATGAATTTAAATTTTTGTTTAAAATGCAATGACAGATTAACAATGTTGCAAGATCACTCTACACATCGCCAGTATGTTTTTGTTTCATCAGCATTTTTCTTATGATAATGGTAGCTGTAATTTTCCACGTCCACAAATATTTTTCCACCAGTGTCTTATGTTCGGAACTTAGCCATGGGTTCCAAATAAAAATTTAATCTATAAAATCCAGAATCGATTAGATGTATGTGATACGCATTGCTGGAGCGATCTGAAACTGCTAGTTTAATTTTCTCTTACTTTAAAAAGAAAATTTTCTCTTTTTTTTATTTATGGTAGCTACCTTTCTGCTTGTTTAGAGTAATTAAAAATATTGGTGTGCAAATTTCCATATTAAACAACCCCTTAAAAAAAATAACAACTACAAAAATTATCAGATGCACGTAATTACACAAGGAAACAATTATCTGGGACGCAAATGTCCAGTGCACAACTGTACGCCCACCGTTTTCTTGCAGTTCCTATTTCCACTATTTACATTATTCGGACTATTGTCCTCACCTTTGTCGCCATACGTTTAGGCTTCCTCAGGTGGTTGGAATGTCGAACTGAACCCTTTATTTCGCTCACTGGGGTAGACTGTTCTAGTTCCACGTGCCATGCCTAATGGATGTCAGTTATCAGTTATCTCTTGTTAATTTCCCTCTCCAAGTTCTTCACCGCCTTAACCAGATATTGAACTCACACACTTTGGGTCCTGTCACTGGATCTAACTAACCCCTTTATCCACTGTGCCATGTGTTCGACATTCCAACCACCTGAAGAAGGCCGGAGCGTACAAAGGCCGAAACGTTGTAATAAATATGTCAACAAAGATGAGGACAGTAGTCTGAATAATGTAAATAGTTTACATAATACCTCATCTCAGAAATATAGAGATACTGAAAGCCCGAAACGTTGTAATATGTCGACAAAGATGGGGACAATAGTCCAAATAATGTAAATAGTGTACATAATACCTCATCTCAGAAATATAGACAGATACTGAAAGGTGGAAACGTTGTAATAAATATGGCGACAAAGATGAGAACAATAGTCCGAATAATGTTAGTAGTGTACATATTACCTCATCTCAGAAATATAGACAGATACTGAAATGCCAAAACGTTCTAATAAATATGGCGACAAAGATGAGGACAATAGTCCGAATAATGTAATTAGTGTACATAATACCTCATCTCAGAAATATAGACAGATACTGAAATGCCAAAACGTTGTAATAAATATGGCGTCGAAGATGAGGACAATAGTCCGAATAATGTAAATAGTGTACATAATACCTCATCTCAGAAATATAGACAGATACTGAAGGGCCGAAACGTTGTAATAAATATGGCGACAAAGATGAGGACAATAGTCCGAATAATGTAATTAGTGTATATAATACCTCATCTCAGAAATATAGACAGATACTGAAAGGCCAAAACGTTGTAATAAATATGGCGTCGAAGATGAGGACAATAGTCCGAATAATGTAAATAGTGTACATAATACCTTATCTCAGAAATATAGACAGTTCATATTTCCGTTAAAACTTCCTCGTTTCTCACATGTTTTGTCCATGATACTCTTTGCATATTCCAGGAGAACCAAATCACTGTTGCCTCTTCAGCATTTTGTGCCATATAAGAGGACTGATATTACAGAACTCTTCAGCAAAGTTTTTGTTTCTGATGAAATGTTTCGCTTTTGGAAGGCACTGAAATTAAATTATTCCAAGATTGAAATCGTCTTCATTGCAATAAATATTTCAATTTAATTACATTTGTCTTAATCTCACAACGTGGAATATTTTCAAGTGGCGCATTCATGTAATCACATTTAACAAATCGGTTTAGCACCGAAAATATGAAACACGCCAGGATTTATAGAATTTTATTGAAGAATCAGGTTCGATAAAATCTGAAACGTGTCAAAATGCATTTCAAACTTTTCGTGAAGAATTGCAAATTTGTATTGTAACTGGTGGTTCTGGTCCTGAGGAGTTTTAATCTTATTTACTTTATGTTTATTTATAAGACATCATTTATAATTAATTAATAACATTGATGGAAAGAAAGAATTAACAGTTACTTCATGTGCCTTTTCTATATTCTGTCTTAAACATTTATATAGAGTGTATTTAACCTTCCTCTATTCCTTTCTATTCATCTAACATCTTTGCATCTATCTTGGTCTGTTCATATCTATCTATCTATCTATCTATCTATCTATCTATCTATCTATCTATCAAAGTCTGTTAATATGTCTCTATCTACCAATATATCTATATATCGCAGTCTGTTCATATCTCTCTACATATTACTCCACCTATTTCAGTTTGTTATCTATCTATCTATCTATCAATCAAAGTCTGTTATATGTCTCTATCTACCAATATATCTATATATCGCGGTCTGTTCATATCTCTCTATATATCAATCTACCTTTTTCAGTTTGTTATCTATCTATCTATCTATCTATCTATCTATCTATCTATCTATCTATCGAAGTCTGTTCATATGTCTCTATCTACCAATATTTCTATATATCGCAGTCTGTTCATATCTCTCTACATATCAATCTACCTATTTCAGTTTGCTATCTATCTATCTATCTATCTATCTATCTATCTATCTCAGTGCATTTCTATCTATCTATCTATCTATCTATCTATCTATCTATCTATCTATCTCAGTCTGACAGTCCAGACACCAGCACATATGATTTAATTATAGTGAACAGAACCAACCACACTTCTTGAAGGGTCGAATAAAGAGTCCTGGAATTCAGAGTTGTCCTTCTCCTTGACCAGTTGCCATCCAAGGCTATAGAACCCAGTCTCTCCTGCTATTTACCCATTTATGTATTTATCCAGTCCTTTTTCGTTTAATGCTGCAGTGTCCCTGTTATCCCACATGCACAGAAAGCATGGTTACTTGGTGAACCTTCAACCTCTTCAAGTCAACGGGAAGAAATCACTTATGCTGATCATAAAGAATTTTCTCCAGAACACATTTTACTGCTTCTTATTTCTCCTTCAGTGTAGTCAGGTGAGTGAGATGTACAAAGGAAAACTGGTTGCAGCTAAACACTTTTCAGTGATCTTTTTTCACTGTCAATGAACAGCCTCCAATCTTTTGGGTTCGTACTGTGACACTCCAAAGAAGCTGCACAATATCTGAACACTACACAAAGTTCTTCTCTTCAGAGGAAATGACGGAGGTACTCTTGATGTCTGTTGTAGTAGAAGGTGATGTGGGCACTGTCAGAGAGAAGGTTCTATTTTTCCTTCAATCTAGATGCCAACATTTTGGCAGAGGACTTTGAGAAACTGAGATTTTGAATGATATAATTTAGTTCCTTTTGGGAAAAAGGAGTGGAGCATCACTGTCAAAAATCACTTCTTGAACACTTGAGAAAACTTTCTCACTAATGCCAGGAAATTCTCCCAAGACAGGTATTGCAATTTCATCCCAATGAGCTACAAAACGATGTACGGATTGAAGATCATGATACTTGAGGCAACTCCGGTTCTTTCTATTGATCCTAGTCTTATCAATAGCACAGAAGTAGCAGTCAGTACTATAGTTTGTTGGTTCCGTCCAAACCATGGGAATTTCAATTTTCAAACAATTCTTCTGGCCCTTGGTTCCCCATTGCAGATACTCAGTACATGTCTTACATACCATGTGTAGCACACAAGCTTGATCCTGGTCACCAATTTGATGAGTCGTTTCTTGATAATGTGTGTGGAAGCGAATGAGGTCTTGAATAACAACAGTTAGCGTGACATGGTCCTTAGTAGAATCTGAGAGACTCTGTCGTTGAGGTCAAATATTGTTATTTTTATTCCGTTATTCCTGAGAAATTGGCACCTGAATTACATTATTTTACTTATTCCTAATTGGCTCTAAATGTCTAACCTGGTATGCTTACTACTACGTCCGTGTGATATTTTGGCAGTAATGACTAATAAAACAAGCTTTTTGATTTGTATTTTATGATTACTTGCATTATTTGGACTGTTATCCTCATCTTCATTGCCATATTCACAACGTTTCGGCCGTTGTACGCCTCGGCCTTTATGTCTATGTCTCTCTATATATCTGTCTATATCTCTGAGATGAGGTATTATGATTACTTGCATTATTTGCATTATTCGGACTGTTATCCTTATCTCCATTGCCATATTCAGAACGTTTCGGCCGTTGTACCCTCTGGCCTTCTGGTTGTTAAAAAGTTCTTGTGTATAGTACAAACTGTATTGCGTATGTATGTGAGAAAGGTGAAATGTCATTATGAGTGTGTTTGTGTGAGATAGTATGTGTACGTAGTAGCAATGGGTATAAAGGAGATAGATAGAATTAAGATCTTACCATAGACGACGACACCAGTGTCTGAAGGCTTTCCCTTTGAGATTTGGTAAGTGCTGCTGAGTCGTTTCTTGATAGTGTGTGCGGAAGCGAATAAGGTCTTGAATATCAGCAGTTACAGTGGCATGGCCCTTAATAGAGTCTAAGAAACTTTGTCGTTGAGGTCAAACGTCTTGATTTTTATACTGTTTTTTCTGATAAATTGGCTCCTGAATTATATAAATTTACTTATTCCTAATTGGTCCTAAAAATCATATGGTATGCTTACTACTACGTCCGCATGATATTTTGGCGGTATTATAATGACTAATAAAACAATCTTTCTGATTTATATTCTATATTTTTTTATTGTACAGTATAATTAGCGTGCTTTAATATGTAAACCCTTTCTTACATGTTATTTCTTTATAAATATTTTTGAGGCGTGTTTTAACATTTATAAAGCTACTAGCAGCATGGTTCGGCGTTGCCCGTGCTTGATTCAAAAATCGTACGACTCATACAGCAATCGCTATCACTTGACTTAAAATATTTTTGCCCTTCTTTGCCTTTAAAGGAGTGCCCCTTTGTCGTGCTGATGTTGCTGCATGCCTTACTTCTTGCCTATCTCACACTGCGAATTTTTTCTAAGCTCTATACTAAACATTAAATCTGTTACGAAAAAAGAACTAAACAAAATGAACACAAAACGATCAGCTTTAAAAAAAGACTCGTAACTGGAAAAACCGAATGAAAAAAGAATGTTAACAACAAATACTTTTTCACACCCAACCCAATTCTGCGGAATCAGAATCAACGTTGAGTTTAAGCAAGCGAATGAGCTAAGTCGAGTAAAGTGTCATGCAGATTTAAATTTTTCCCACTTTTGACGAATGCAGCTATCGATTTTTTTGCATGCTAGCATGCTAGTTAACATTCGTGTCAGTCAGCTGAGGAGGTAATGCCGCCCTGCGTCTAGAGACTGGCTGCTAGAAGACGCTATGTATGACAACAAGACTGTGCCATGCCACACAAGCAGGAGAACCAAGTCATGTCTGTCAGACAATTTCTGTGACAAAATCACCCTTACATCTGTTCAGCTAATTCTTCTGACGGGAATGAAACTGGATTATGATGTTTGAGCGCAGTTGAACGAGAGACCAACAAAACCTGTTACGACAAATGAACTGAATGCAAGGATTATGATTATTAGAATTGTAGGAAATTCCAAAGTCGT